AGTTCTTAGAACTACAGTTACCCCGTCAGAGAGGACGTGCCTTTGAAATTCGATGGATATTACAACATGCCCTGCAGAAGTATAAATGGTATTTGTACCGTTTATACTTCTTTCAGTGTTTTTCTACGTATATTTAATATCTGCATATGCATACATACCTTTGGAAATATCCTACTTTTATTGCTACCTATTTTTAACAGCTTTATTGAGGTGTAACTTACATATCATAAAATCTGCCCATTTTACATGTATAATTCAGTGATTTTTAATAAATTTATATAAAGTCGTACAGCTGTCACCATAATCTGGTTTTAGACCATTTTCATTACTCAGAAAGATCACTCATGCTCATTTGCAGTTGATCTGTTACCTGATTTTTTGCCGTGTTGTTCAGTATTTATTCAGCAGACATTTAGTGAATGTCTACTATGTGCCAGGCAGTAAACTGGCAGATAGTTAATAAAACAGATAAAAATCCCTATCCTTAAGGGGGTTACAGTTTGAGGAGCAAAGTCTGTATTCTTCTTTAAAATCATTTTAGTAACAGTATTCAGCATATAGGTGCACTAGGCTTTACTAATACTCGGTGGTTGGACTTGTAAGTTGTTTCCATTGTTTTGCTGTTGTAATGGAAAAGACTTACAAGTAAATTCTCATGCCGGTAGCCATGATTTCTTTTTTTATGGACCATACTGCTGAGTTAAGAGAAATGCCCATTTTAATTTAAATGTCTAATCTCTCTGTTTTACACCTGAAACCAATATAATACTATATGTCCACTGTCATGCGAAATACTTTTTTGAAGAGAGACATGCCCGCTGTAGGGCTTTGCTTACATGTGCCTCCCAGCACTGCCTGCGCGCTCCCTCTCTCCCCCGGTGCCAGCTGGGCTGTGGTGTTAAGTCTTGGCAGTTTGAGAAAGAATAATGTGTCTCATGTTAATTTTTCTTTCTTTGTTTGTTGATAAAGTTGTTAAGCATTTTTATCTCTGTGTTTAAAATCTATTTTTTTAAATTTCTTACAAGCGTCTGTTCGTATTCTTGGCCTAATTTCCAATTGTTATATATGGCTTTTATTGACTTGTAAGAGAGTTTTATACTTCTGTTTTTAATAATTTGTCCTTTTTTGATAAAAGGTGGTTTATAAGTTTTTACTTTTATGGTTAAATCTGCGTTTCTTCTTCTGGTATCTGTCTTTAGGGGCTTAAACATGTTTTCTCTAGAAGTTTTTTTGGGGGGTATGTTATGAAGAGGGGAACTAACTTTATTATTATTTATTTATATTATTCAAGCAGCATCTATTTCAAGAACTCCTCCTTTTCCACTATTGGAGATGGTCCACACGGCCCGTCCTTGTCCGATTTCTACCTTGACAGCCCCGTGGGCCTCTGCGCTTCGGCTGCTCCTCATCCCAGCTGCGCCACGGCCCTTCCCCCCTTCCCGACGCGGACTCCCGCCTCTGTCCGCGGGGTTGGGTTCCTTCTGTCTGGGAAACTGGACCGTTTCCCCGCGGCAGCTCTCTCCCCTCGTATCTGGCCAACCTCTCCTTAGGTCTCAGTTGGAACATCGTTTGTTTGAGTGGTCTTCTCTGACCACTCCCCCATTTGGAAAGGTCTCACTGCTTTTATCATAATTTAGAACAAGAGAATTGTTAAAAAAAAAAAGAGAGAGAGAATTGTAGCTCTCCTGGGTCCCTAGTGCCTGGCACAGGGAAGACACTCAGTACATACTTACTGGATGAATTACAGCCTCATCAGACATTTTTACATCTACATGTTATGGCTGCATTTTTCTTTTTCTAGAACATCTTCAATATTTATTCTAGATCTACACTGTCCAATATGGTAGCTGCTAGTCACATGTGGCTATTGAGCGTTTGAAATGTGGTTGTTCCAAATTGAGATTTGCTGTTGGTATAAAACACACATCAGATTCCAAAGACTTAAGTAATTTTTTCTTATTGATTACATGTTGAAATGATAATGTTTTAGATATACTGGGTTAAATAAAATTTATTAACATTTTAAAGTTTTCTTTTAAACAGTGTAACTGTTAGAAAACATTATGCATATATTAATTGGACAGCAATGTTCTAGAATAATTTTAAAATTGTTTTGTCAAGTTTTAAAAAAATATGCCATTGTGGTACATTATATTTATAAATTAAATTTTTTGGAAAATATCCATCTCTACAGTATTGAGTCTTCTTGCCAGAAGCATGCTATGTGTGTTCTTAAAGTCTGGTCATTTTCTTCCTGTAGATCCTGTTTTCTGTCGCTGCCCCAGGTGTTGTGTATTTCTCCCCCAGGTGTTCGCACCCTGCCCCCAGGTGTTGTGTGTTTCTGCTGCTGTTGTTGGTTGCAGCTTGTCACCATTGTAACTAACTGCCTTTCTCTGTACAGTAACTTTCGAAGCGCTTCACTTACTAGATCTTAATTCTCACGGAAGTGCTTATCTTATGTTTTCTACATAAGAAATATCTGCCTTGAATAGTAATTTTGCCTGCTCTTTAAATGGCCATATGCATTAATTTTCTCCTCATCTTGTGGCTTTGGCTGGGACTTCCAGAACAATGTTAAGTGAGAGGAGTGAGGGGCAGACCACCTTGTACCCTCCCAGGCACTAACGGGAACGCCTTCACAAAGGTGTTTACCAGCATGTGCACCAAGGAACACTAGCTCTTTGGAATATTAACATGTGTACCTTGAGAGAAGAGTTTCATGCTTAAATGAGTTTGCAAACTACTAAGTTAAATGGAATTCTTGTCTGCAGGACTTTTCAGATGGGTTATAACGCTAATGTGTTTTTAACCCCTGGGAGATAGGGATAGGAGGCTAGCTCATGGGCATGCACTACTAAATACATTGTGGGGAAATGCAGATATAATGTTGGCTTTTAAAGAATGATGTTGCCATTGGTTTGCAGTAGATACTGTTATTATATTAAGAAACGGTTGTTATATTTCTACCTTGTTGAGTATTTTTGCCCTATTGAAAAGGGCATTTAGCTTTCCAGAATGCATTTTGGCATTGTATTGATTTGACCATATGGTTTTTCTTCTTTGACTTACTGATGTTGCAAATTATATTCGTGTATTTCTTAACATACAGCCATCCTTGCGTTTGGCCATACTATGATATTCTCTTAATAGGTTATGTTTGCTACTATTTCCTTTAGGACTTTCAAGTCCGCTCACTTAGTGAAGCTGGCAGTGTTCTTCTTGACACTGTTTGCCATTTTCTAGTATCAGACCTGCGCCATATGAACTGAAATGCTTCGGACGTTTTCATATGCATCCAGGACAGTGTGGATGGCCTGAAGACCATGTGGGCTCTGGTTCTTCTGGTTCTCTTTTATTTAATTTTGCCAGTTTATGTTACCCCAAAAATATGTTAATTCTGTACAGATTTCAAAGTGACTTCAATTATAAATCTAGGATAAACCAGGGCACAGCATTGCTCTTTAATAACTAAAATGTTTCAGCTCAAATTCTGACATGATAAACACTGATGAGATCTGGTAACACGAACTGATTAATCCTTTCCTGCAGGAATCTTCAATTTAGTTGCCTATTGTCTTGTGATTTAAAATTATATGCTGTTCTGTACTAACTACTTTTTTGCTTTTTTGGGTTTGTTCTTTTTCTAACTTCATGAGTGATTTTACTAATTTTTATTCTTTATTTGTTTAATAACAATTGTCAGATACTGGCTTTCCGTTAAATTTTGTTGTTTCAAAACCATCAACATTTCATTCTGAAAAATTTCAAACATGCAGAAAAGGTGAATTTTACAGTAAACACCCGCATACCCACCATGTGGACTCTACACTTGTTAGCAGTTCACTCTGTTTGCCTTTTCACACACCTGTTCATCTCTTTTTTGGACGCATTCTCAAGTAAGTTGAAGACGTAGCAAACGTCACTCCTAAACCTTTGTTGCTACAGAGTTGATGTAAGATTTTTAATTTTTTTTAAATAGTGTTATTCCTTTTAGATTTTGCTTTTGAGTACTTACCCAGAAAGTGTTTACATTTTTATTGGATGGGTTTTAAAAAATAAAAGTTAGATCTAATTTTGTTATTTTGGCCAGAGAATACAGCCTGGGCCGTCTACACGTCTGTAGTGCTGAGTGGTTCACTGCTGCGGATTCTAGGCACGGGGCAGCCGGCCCGTGCTGGGTGTGCTGGTGTCGTGAGCACTAGCGGAGGGCCACACACTTGCGATAGCTGGCATTCTTTTTGCGCCTGCTGTCTGAAAACCCCTCGTGGGACACTCGTTCCTGTCCAAAATGTCCACGGATACATTTGGTATAGGCCAAAGGGTGCTTGAAATTTGGTAATTTAGTGCTATCAAAAACATCCATGAGCATATTTGGTCCATTCCAAGTGGTCAAGGACCAAATGTCTCCATGGATGTGTCAGGACCAAATGTCTGCTGACCCTAACGACTCCCTGAAAGGGGCTGAGCGCTGCTCTGTGAATCACCAGCCCCGAGAGATGCACAGGTGTGCAGAGCTGAAGGGGAAACAATGCACGTTAAGACAGCAGCTCACATTCTAAGCAGGGTTCAGCTCTGTTCACTGTTTCCAGGATGCTGTATAGTGACAAACACAAATTGGAAGTGCACAAAGAAGGCAGAGCATTGGATTTATTTTTTTACAAAGTAAAAATCCTCAGAACGAGGTGAAATGGAGGTATTTTTCCTAGAATTGTGCCAAATGCTTTTTCAGAACCAAAATGACCCTACTGTATATGTTTTAATTTTGATCAGGATGAAAGTTGGGCAGCTGGGATACTAGGCCGGTCAGTCATAGGGCTGTTTGTCTCCAGGTGAACAGACCAGGACGTGAGAGACTGGAAGCAGGTGAGAGGAAGCGTGCCCGGCGGGCCCGAGGAGGCCCTGTAGCTGCGGTGGTAGTGGTGGTGTTTTCCCGCCGGTACTTCTGCTGCTCGCACTCAGTGAGGAGTCGTTGTGAATCACGAAACTTTCTCTTTCCGCAGATTACGCTTCACGTCAGTAGAAATGGACAGCAGCAGTTTTATTCAGTTTGACGTGCCCGAGTACAGCAGCACCGTTCTGAGCCAGCTAAACGAGCTCCGCCTGCAAGGGAAACTATGTGACATCATTGTCCACATTCAGGGTCAGCCGTTCCGAGCCCACAAAGCAGTCCTCGCTGCCAGCTCCCCGTATTTCCGGGACCATTCCGCACTAAGTACCATGAGTGGCTTGTCCATATCAGTGATTAAAAACCCCAATGTGTTTGAACAGTTGCTTTCGTTTTGTTACACTGGAAGGATGTCCCTGCAGCTGAAGGATGTGGTCAGTTTTCTGACGGCAGCCAGCTTTCTTCAGATGCAGTGTGTCATCGACAAGTGCACGCAGATCCTGGAGAGCATCCACTCGAAAATCAGCGTCGGGGACGTGGACTCAGTGACCGTCGGCGCCGAGGAGACCCCGGAGAGTCGGAATGGAGTTAAAGACGGCAGCTTCTTCGCCAACCCAGTCGAAATCTCCCCTCCCTACTGCTCTCAGGTACGGCAGCCCGCCGCCGGCAGCGATCTTCGGGTGGAGACGACGCCCAGCAAAGCTCTGCGCAGCCGCCTGCAGGAGGAAGGGCACTCGGACCGAGGGAGCAGCGGGAGCGTTTCCGAGTACGAGATTCAGATAGAGGGGGACCACGAGCAAGGGGACCTGCTGGTGAGGGAGAGCCAGATCACCGAGGTGAAGGTGAAGATGGAGAAGTCCGACCGGCCCAGCTGTTCCGACAGCTCCTCCCTGGGGGACGACGGCTACCACACCGAGATGGTCGACGGGGAGCAGGTCGTGGCGGTGAACGTGGGTTCCTACGGGTCTGTGCTCCAGCACGCCTACTCCTATTCCCAGGCAGCCTCCCAGCCCACCAGCGTAGCGGAAGCTTTTGGAAGTTTGAGTAATTCCAGCCCATCCAGGTCCATGCTGAGCTGTTTCCGAGGAGGGCGTGCCCGCCAAAAGCGGGCTTTGTCTGTCCATCTGCACAGTGATCTGCAGGGGTTGGTGCAGGGCTCAGACAGCGAAGCTGTGATGAGTAACCCCGGGTATGAGAGCAGCCCCCGGGAGAGGAGTGTGAGAGGGCACTGGTACCCGTACAACGAGAGGCTGATCTGTATTTACTGCGGAAAGTCCTTCAACCAGAAAGGCAGCCTCGACAGGCATATGCGACTCCACATGGGGATCACCCCCTTTGTGTGCAAGTTCTGCGGGAAGAAGTACACGCGGAAGGACCAGCTGGAGTACCACATCCGGGGCCACACTGATGACAAACCGTTCCGCTGTGAGATCTGCGGCAAGTGCTTTCCATTCCAAGGCACCCTCAACCAGCACCTGCGGAAAAACCACCCGGGGGTCTCGGAAGTCAGGAGTCGCATCGAGTCCCCCGAGAGAACAGATGTGTACGTGGAACAGAAACTAGAAAATGACGCGTCGGCCTCCGAGATGGCCCTCGATTCCCGGATGGAAATTCACACAGTGTCCGATGCTCCCGATTAAGATGGTAAAGAAGTGCACCCAAACAAAGCACATAAATCAATGCATAGTTGTGATTTGCTTTGTTGTAATCTTTAGTTCTCCCAACCATCTGGAAATCTCTTGGTCTCTTGGCAGTTTTTCTAAGGTTTCTGGAAGGAGCACTTCATCGTGTTTATCCTTTCCTCCGTCCTCCCTCCCCCAAGGAGCTCAAAGCATGAAGGGCATCATATCCAGGGAAAACACAGGCTGACAGTATTCCTCTTTGGCCGAACTCGGAATCCACAATCTGCCAGTGACTTAGCTATGCCAACTGGTTGACCCTGTATTCTCCGCCAAGGGGCGTGCGCTCTCGCCCGGGCCGCCGCACCCCGGCACCAGTGCACTTGCGTGGAGAGGGGCTGAGATGCCGTCAGCTGATACAAATGGGTAACCTTTTCTAATTTAAAGTTACTTTTACGGAGTAGTTAGACAATTTATATATATATATAATAAAATGATTATTATATATATAGTATATATACATTCTCAAATTTGGTTTTATTCTGGTTGAGGTGAATGTAAGAAGAATATATAATTTAATACAATGTGAACAGAGCTTTTGACTCTGTCTCGTCCCTACCTAATGTGTTAGGGTTTTGCCCCTTTATTTCCCTTACGAAAGAATGTTAATAGGTTTTCATATATATTAATCATTGTGTCCAAAAGCAAGCAAAGCAAATCACAGTGTTCATAGCTCTGCTTCGTAACAAATACATAAACCAAATGCCATAAAATGTATTCAACTCTAGTTGGAAACCATTTGGAATTTCTGTTAGTTGTCCAGTGGGTGAGCTGGACGACCCGTGGTGCTGACCTTTTCACACAGTGTCGTGTTTTATTAGCCAACCCCAAAGGAGCAGTGGTTTTCAGTGTTTTTACTGGCCTCCGAATCTACCTTCATTCCGTACTGTAGAAACATACACACCAGGTAACTAATCGAATCACTCTCTACCGTGAGTTACTACTCGCACTAAAGGAAAGGGATTTGTAGTTCTGTCTACAATATTCTCCAAGCAGTGTTGTGGTTGATTTTGTTTTGTTTTGTTTTTCCTTTCTTTTTTCAAACAGCCAGTTCAGGTGCACAGCAACTTTTTCTACATGCAGTTCCCAGGGAAACTGCAGAACTTGGAATTTGTACTTTTGTAAAGATATATACTCTACGGGAATTGCAAGCAATATATCTCTCTTAGTATCGTGTGTGCTAACGAGAGCCTCCGAGGCTCCCCCACTCAGTGTTTCCTGCGTACAGAAACCAACAGTTCAGAGCCCTCTAAGACACTCTGTGTCACCAAATCCGTGTGTTTCACCTCGTTCTTATTTTGGTCACGTGGTGCTATATTTTTATGTTGTGTATCCTTTAGGTCAGTATAGCCGTAGAAAATGTGAAATTAAATGGTAATAGTGAATTACAGTTTTTTTCCTCTCGAGTTTATAGCTTGAAAAGAGACCTCAAAAGCATGTGCTGGCAAACACATTACTGTATAAAAACACAGACCTATTTGAATAATGTTTTATTAGTGCTTTAGGAAATGTCCTCAGTTCTATATTTTGTTCACCCGTGTGCTTCTAGCAAACAAAACGGGCTTTACAAGATTGCTGTGGGACTGCACCGTCCGACAGAGCAATCTTGTTGTGAGCAACCAGCTGCGAGCTGCCTGTGGGAGGTCAGCACTGCAGACTCTGCCGGAGACCTTGGCTCTGACACTCACAGCCAGTGCGTCTCCTCCTCCTCCTCCGCGGAGAGCAGCACAGACCACCTAAAAGAAAACAAGCAAAAAGACCAACCTCAGAGGCTAGGAGTTAAAGGAATACAAAAATAGACGTTTGCTGGTTTTCCATGCTTTTTTGGCTCTTAAAATGCCAAGAATTGTGGGGGAGGGGTCGGGGGGTTGTTTTTTTGTTTGTTTCGTGGGGGGTTATTTTGAGAAAAGTGAGTCGTTCAGGCCCTTGTGTGTGACCGTCCCCGGGAGTGGCAGCTGTGCGGTGGCATCTCTTCAGCACACGGGGTGTGCTCGCGTGTGGGCTGTGGCGCCCGCACCCGTGTCCCCGCGCACAGTCTGCACTCAGTCCCGCTGCCCCCGAGGGGCGGCCCTGCTGAATCGGGTATACTATGCCTTTTCCTGTCAAACTGCCTAAGTAAGGGGCTTGCCCTCTCCCTGGAGCACTTGCTCAGCTCCCGTCAAAGCCGCGTGCCTCACGGGGAGGCTGGACCCCCAGTGTTTACCCACTTACATGTGTTCTGGGGTTTCAGGTAAATGTTTGTGGCTTTTTTTTTTCCTTACACGAATAAGTTTGGTTTTGATTTTTTGTTTAAAGAATTAAATGCAAAAATTTGTGTTGTGATACAAAATTAAGTTTGTGACAAGAAATGCCCAAATGAAGGACATGAGAGGTGAGGCTCAGGGAAGGAACCTCCTTTTCTCTCAGGCTTGAGGCCCTTGGAGAGGCCTCCAGAGCATCTGCGGTGTGTCCGACCAGGTGGGAGGAGAGAGCACTTGGGGCGAGCACCTCGAATGTCCTGTCCTTGTCACCGTGTCCGTCTTAGCCTTCTCTGTACACGGGAGTCTTTGTACTTGTAAATTTGTTTAACTGGTTTGAGTTTACCAAAGAGTGACTTATCCAAAATTGTCTTTGACAAAAATATACATTGCTTTGATTGTACAGTTCAGGTTCAAACATTGTAATGGGACTGTTAAGGGGCAGAAAATTGATTGAGTTTCTCTCGAATAATGATTCCACATTTTGCAAGTTCCACTTGCTCCCATTCGTGTTGCTAACACTTTACCCTTTCCACTGCTAGCAGTGTTAAGAAAGAATTCTCAAGCCATAACACAGTACTGTAAGGTTCCGCAGGGCTTCGAGGGAGCGGCGCGGGGGCCAGCGCACGGCCGTGCGGCCTCTCTGAGCGTGCGTCCTGCCACGCCTCTCCGTGTGCGTGGCGGGGGAGAGATCACTCCATTCCGATCGGGCAGCAGCGATCACTTGTGCCTTGTCACGTGAGGATGGGCCAGGAGGACTGACGTGACCACAGAACAGAAACACCCTCTCCCCGAAGCTCACGGCCCGTCTCCGCAGACGCAGGACGCTGTGTGACTCCTTAGAACAGCTCTTTTTGAAAAGCGAAGTCCCTCTTTCTGTACAGTTTTAGATTAGGTGTTTCCTTTATGACAAATGCAAAAATCAATTACGATTAAAGTGATATGTGAAGAAGTCTTTTACAGTAAGATATATCCTGAATTCATACAGGTTTGTTCATAATTGAGTCTCTTCTTGAGCTACCTTTCCCACACATAGACAATGTGAAGACAGTGACAGCGTCCTTTTCTCTAGGGGTTTTACCTGTTCTTACAAACTGTGAAAACAAAGGATTTTATACTTTACGTGAGTTTGTGGTTCTAAACGGTTATTTTCATTTTAATCAGTTCTCTACCCTCTAATTTCTACTAAAGCTGTAAATACATTTAGAAATTATATTTGTAAATACAGTATATGAAGACAAGTTAATTTTTTGGTCAGTGGAAAAAACCTCCCAGTTGGCTCTGCCTTGGCCGCTTTTTAAATAGAAAGGATACTGTCGGTTCACTGTTAAGCAGAATATACTGTAGAACTAAATTGATCATTTTTAAATCTTCCAGAGCATGAGCAAATGTCTTTTCTCATGACAGCAGTTATAACCGAGTCTTTGTTTTCCCTTCGCCCAGACTACAGGCCTGCACATTGTTGTGTGTGGTTTTGCTTTTACTTTTGTCTCTACAGCCTGGACCGTAGGCAGGGTTTGCAGGAACACGACCCAAGGGCTGAGGGGGGGAATCATTCACGCGAATGAGCTTTACTTTCAAGAAATCAGTGTGTTTTACTTTAGCAGCTTTTCTCTTAGTTACTGTGATGTCTCGTCGTCGTTGTCGTGTCCGCGTTGTCATTGTTGAATTCTGTAATGGTTTCCTGTGAAGCCTCCACTGAAAGGGACTCAAATATGCAACACCTGAACTATTTTCCAAGGGCACAGGCCCCTTGAATGGTGCTTCTAGACTGGTCAGGGTTATTTATTAAATTTTATATATGAAAGTATTGGGGAACTATGTAAATTCTTTATATGAAACTATCTAGTTCACAAGTCATAGATTTCACATTACTCAGTGCGACTGAACGCAGCGTTCAGCAGAGTCATTCACATTGCTCCCGGTTTGACGGACGGCTGTCACACGCCGCACGCGTCTCTTCCGGTGAGTGCCGGCGCGCGCGCGCGCGTGCGCCTGCCGTCTCCGCTCGACCTCCCGGCCCGGGAGAGAGCCCCTCTCTCTGGGTCTGCACAGACGGGGCTCTCGTAGTTCTCGGTCAAGTCCCGGAGTGCCCCTGGCAGCAGACGCAGTGCACGGACCTCTTGCTGCCCCTCAGTGACAAGTATGCTGTGAATCCAACCTTTGGACTTGCTGCCTAAGCCTTTGGTTGCTGCCCCGATAGAGCAAGAGATACACTTACCTGCTTTCTTTGCGAATGACCATTTTCCTAATGTGAAAACCATCTCTCTCACCACTCGAACTAGTAGGGCTAACATTGTTTTCCGTTACAAATGGTTGAGCAATTTGAATGACTCGACAGTGTCATTATCTTGCAATATAAACTGGTAACCTCACAACTCCACACTTCATCGCCATATGAAGTAAATGAAGCTAGCTAAGCGGATGCTGTTATCAACTAGTAACTTGCCATTAAGGATTATTTTATAGCATGAATTTAAAACTATTTATTCAAATGATATTTTACTCTTGTATTCATTTTGTTTTCGATTTGTGACATGACTATTTCAGTGCTGCTTAATTTTGTTCTGAATCCTTGTTTCTTGCTTGTAAATGGCTTTTTTATGGTATAAATAAAGTCCATTGAAATTGCTGTTTGTAAATAAAAATGCTGCTAGAGCGAATGTGTCTCCCTCCGTGTCTGCCCCCTGGGGCCCCGGCGAGTCCCACGAGCACCCGCAACGGCACAGTTCCTGTAACCACTGTGTTTGAAAGGTTAGGATTTCATAAAAGCTCTGGTGCCGCAACGGTGCTGGAAAGAGGACAGAGAGAAGCTGGCTGGTCTTTGACCTTTCTCGTGTGTGGCAAAGACGGGATTTTCAGGGCCCTGCTGAGCCCACAGGCTCCCCAGAGGAATCCCTGGGGAATCCCTCCCCTCCGCCCTGCAGAGCTGCCCCTGTGGCTCCCTCGAATGTACCCGTTTCTCCTGCCGGGTGGGGGGGGGGTCGGTCTTGGAGCTGCGGGAGCTTGTGCTGCTGTCTCCAACTTCTCCCTCTTCAGATTTCAGCTCCTTGAGGGAGCACCGCCCCGCAGCAACCCCTCTAGGTCAGACCCCTGGAACAGTTTTGTTACCGTGTGCCCTGCCCTTCAGGGCGCCTATTTCGGTTGGTAATTGTATATCGACTAGAGAGAGTGTTCAATTAATGTTTCTCCCTCCAGCCTGTAAGTTCCACGACAAAAGTGATCGTGGACCGGCTCCCTCCTCTGCATGTATGCCCTAAGCACAGGACCTGTCACCCAGGCAGGTACACATTAAGGACCGAATGAATGAGCAAATGCATGTGTTCTGGGGGCGGCGGGGGAGGGGAGAATCGAGCGGGGCGGGCGTCTGGGAAGCGGGTGGGAAATACACCTGGCTCCTGTGCTGCTAGAACCCGCTTGCTCCTTGGTGTAAAGCAAGGTCCCTTCTCACTAGGGCGCTTTACAGGCAAGTGGGCACTGACCTAGTGCACAGTGCGAGAGGCAGTGTAGGTACCAGCTTCACTTGATAGCTGGAGGCCTGGGGACTCCTGGGGTACCCACCCAAAGGCATGATGGAGAAAGTGCATTTACTTGCAAGTCTGGAGGTCTGGTGTCTAGCCATCCATGGCTTTGCCTGGCCGTGACTCACCCCCCTTTAGCCCCAGTGTGTCCAAAATGATGGAGTTGGACTCCTGTGGCTTAGGTAACTTTCGAGGCAGTGGCATTTTCCATAAGGCTGGAGAAGTAGCCCAGGGTCAAGGAGCAGGGGTGAGCCTCTCCATTAGAGGAATATCCCCAGGCGATGTGGTTCTGGAAATAACGCCACCTAAAGCAGACACCACGGAGTCGGAGTAGAGGTGTAGACGCATTGAACTGTGTTGCTGGCAAAGGCCATTGGCAGTAGCCAGCTCCTTCCATTTGTCCTGAGGGCGTGGTCCGTCTGCACTTGTTTCTTCCGATTATAATTCCTACAACTGACCACGGCTGCCTGGCCGCAGGGACGCGAATGCTGTCCTTCCCAGTGTCAGAGGGCCACCGCCAGTCCCCTCTCGCTTGCAGGTCCTCAGCTCTGTTTCCTGGGCCACTTCCTCATGCCTCGATGACTCAGACACCTCGTTTGATTTTTTTCCTTTTGTTTTTCACACCAGGCCTAACTTGCATACCTTTTCAGAACACGAAGGCGAAGAGAGGCCACCTCCAAGGAAACAGATGCCGCGGGACACACCAACCTCGGGGAACACCTCCTTAGCCCCAACCTGGGGAAGCGCGCGGAGCCCTCGCTGAGTGATCACTGTGCCGCGCTCGGCGAGGCGTGTGCAGTAGAGCTCCCTGACCCAGCTGTCATCTGTCAGTGCACTGTTGCTCCCAATTGGGGGGGAGGGGGAGTGATACACATACCTGAGAACAGTGGGTTATGATGCCATCACCCACGGGGTAACATGCCTCAGACCGCAGATGCGGAACTGCCTTTCCTCTCCAACTCAAACAGCAAGTAGGTCCCCCGCCTCTAATCATCTTTGGAAGAGGTCACTTTCTAGGACGTCATTCGTCCCTGACTCTGTCCTAATAGAGCTTGAATCTAATCAGCCTGGCTGGGCCCCTATGGGAGAAGCGACGTTCTCTTTTGGGGCAGCTAGCTGGGTGTTGCTGGTGGCCATGCTGGCCCCTCCAGCTATGTAGACAAGCCCACCTCCAGCTTTGCTGGGGAGGCAGTGAGGTGCTGGCACTCAAAACATTTCTCCACCCCTTTGGGCTCAGCCTTGGCACTGTGATCAGCCCTGGGGCGCTCCGTGTCAACACGAGATCTGCCCCTGTTGTGCCCTGGGCCCCACTAGGAGCTGTGCGTGGCCCAACTAGCTGAGCTAGAACGGGTCCTGCAAGTTTGGACTGCTTTCAGGTGCTGCGTGAGCATGTGTGCTCTTTAAAACGTGGGAACTGGAGGATGAGTCATTTTGAGTTCTGCCCGCTTCCCCAGAGTGCTCGAGGTGGAAGGGACAGTCCCTCGCACTCTTGCAAGAGTAGGAAGGGATCCCCCGGGCTCTCTGCTCCCCGACTCCCCATACTGGGGCTGCTAGAGTGCTCTGCAGAAGTCAGCTCCAGTTTCTACTTGCTCGTGGAGCCTGGCTGCCTCCCAAGGGACTCTGAGTGGTTGACAGCTTACCGTGACCGAAAGTCCTTCCTTATCCTTAGCCCCAAACCCACTGCCCTGGAGTTATAGACCCTTGGTTCTCTGTCCTGCTTCCCAGGACCACGGTGTGCTTAAAATATTCAGTCCCAGCAGTCCTGTCTCCTTCTGGCCCTCCTGGGGCTTTTCTAGGCTAAAGGTGACTCTGGGCTCTTTTTCCTGGAGGCCAGCCCGTGGGGACGTCCTTCCCCTTTCTGTCTGCCCACCTGGTCCCTCTTCAGGACTTGAACAAACGCGATTGGGAGACGTGTTTCCAATAGAATCTTGTTGGAATTTGAGGTGGTGGAATCCATAACTTGGAAGAACACTTCTTTGGCAAAGCAAACAACTTGTGTGTGACTGTTCTTTTAACCAGCCTGCCAGATGTTCTGTTCATCGCACATCCGGCTCCCTGGAGCTGTTTGCAGGCTTTTCGTTAACTCCTCAGCTTCTTCACTGTCTCCCCTTTCATCTCTAAGCATTGAGGTGAGACTTGAAAGGCACCTTTAATTTGGGAGATCTGGGCTCTGAGAATGGACTCTGTCTGGCCTCCGAATTTCCGCCAGGGCTTTGTGCCCATTCCCTCTCCCCGTATGACCGACCCTCCAGCTCCCCAGGGCCCTCTGGCTTGCCCAACCTCACAGGCATCGGTGCCAACCCAGCTGGGCACAGACATTCCTGTCTTGCTCCATTTCATCTTTGCAGAGGGCAGGCACGGGGGTCATTTGCTGGCTTCTTATCGCTTTCTCTTTCCCCTTTCAACACAACTGCCTCCCCATGCTCTGGCCTTACTCACCCCTTCTTGCCTGCTGCACCCTGGCCAGGCTTCTGGTGAAACGAGAATGCTGTTAGGTGTTCAATAACTAAACTATTAGTTGCCTTCTTTCCCTCCACTGCATGGGTCCCCTTTCCTCAGAATGGGCCTCCAGGGACCTCCTGGCCCCAGGCTCGGTTGAAAGGCCCCACTTTGACTGTGGCCAGGGGATGACCAGCTGCAGGCACTGGGAGAGCCAGAGCCCTCTGCTCGCAAGGCACAGCCAGCACATCTCTGCCTCCAACGTGGAAATGCTCCCCTTCGCAAAGAGTCAGGTGCTCTCCGGATATAACGGTCTAAAGCCTAGACAGAAAGAATTGGATGGTTCCTCTGTGGGGGCTCTGATGCTGTCTCTGGGTGGGTAGTGTCAGAACTGTATCAATCTGTAGGAGACCCAGCTAAAAGGGGGAACACTGTGTCCCTTGCACACACAGGGGAGTCGACGACCAGAACCTTTCCTTTGTCCCGTCAGCCCTAGGAGCGGGAGCTGCTTCCTTCTATCATTATGTGTTTCCTCGGCGTCATAAGATCCTGACAGTACACGTGAAACAGTATTACTTGAAGATAGACTCTACTTAAAGATGTACGTTGTAAACCTTAGGCCAACCGTTAACATTTTTGAAGCATTTAAATGGTTTAACACACTGTACTGGATTATCTGTCAGCAGTTTAGCACCACCCCCCCCTCCTGCGGTCCCCCTTGTATCGCAGGGTCTGGACGCTTAGGGGAACTACATTTCCCAGCATTCCTTGCCAGAGAGTTGACTAGTTCAAGTCTGCCAATGACAAGGATAGTTGACTTGTTATTTGTAGTAGTGATGCCCTACCCAGTCATTGTGAACACCAATTAAGTCAGCAACTACTGGTCCGTTGTTCCAGCAGGACCTGCAGGATTAGGTTGCTGTGAGTCTCCGCACATTTGGGGGAACCCATCAAAACACAACTTTGTTTTTTGTGTGCTTCTGTGTAAAGACCCCTTAAAATATACTGTTAATTCCTTAATGTGGAACTCAGGACCAACACCTCTCCAGCTCATGCCTGAGACAAGTTTATCTAAAAGATGCACTTTCTTTGAAAGGCACCTCACTGCCTTCCTCTGCTTGGAAACACTAGACAGAGCTTCAGCACTATGCCTGGGGATCCGTTTAAACAGAGAAATCACCCGCAAAAAGCTAAAAAATGCCCCCCCCCAAATATGTGGCACTAAATAGGTTGCAGAAAGGATACATTAACCATATGAGAGCTGAACGAGAGAGCACAGTGTCACCTCATTTGACCTCTGCTGGGAGTGTCTACATCGGGCCACTCCCATTCTTTTCTGCTTGCCTGTGAATGACCTGGAAAGTGCTGCGAGTATTCTTGGATTATAAATCAATTTTAGCAGCAGGCTAATTTGCAAATACGGGAACCATGAATCGTGAGGGTCAATTGTATGTCCATTTCAGCACCCCCACTTCTTCTAACATCTACCAGGACAGCTCGGGTACCTCCACCCCACTGAGCACTCACTGGCCATGGGTTTTTGCCGGCTTCTCAGAGCTACTGCAGTGGCTGGGGTCCTTGCTGGGGTGTTAAATCCCGTGTGCTGAGAAAGTGTCCCCAGGTCAATGAGCTCTTGTTTACCTAGTCTTATACTCCCACTTCCTTGATCTTGCACCCACAAAGTTCCATCCCAGGGTTATTTCCCTGGCTTCTGCTGGTACATGCTGACTAATTCTTGCAGTGCCCAGGCATATAGTCTGTTTTTGCCCTTTGCCAGTCCCAGTGGTATCCAGCTGGGCTTGTTGGGTTTTAACGCTAGTTACCACCCTAGCAGCTTGGAGGGAGGTGGGGGCAGCTCTGAAGGCAGGCCACCTGTTGTCCGTGAGAAAGGGCTTCCGTGGCACCTGCCAGCTCTGTAGTGACTCCAGTTCTTACGAAGGAAAGGTGAGTCAGCTTGGTGAGCCTGGAGGAGTCTGGGGTGCATGCTGCAGAGCCACCATCCTCAGGAACACTCATCCACGTGGCCTCGTCGCATGTTTTAGGATCCTAGGTTTTTCCCACCAGGGCCCTGACCTTCACCCCAACAGGTGTGCCTTGCTGGGCATTCAGACATCTCTGGGGCTCTAGACTCTCATAATCAGGTCTTCAGCCCACCACGCAGTGTGCCTGTTCTTCCACTACCACAGGTGATGAGGGCCTCTTTGCAAGCTACCTCCGCAGCTCTCTAGGTCTCGCCCTTGGCCATTAACGGCTCCTTAACAGCCTGCCTCTCTCGTCATCCTTCTGCAGTACAACTCAGCCGAAACCAGCCAACTAGCTCCCTCTGTCTTTATCAGCATTGGTTTCCCCATGTTTTCAAACTCTGGCATCATAGCACCTACCAGAGTATGCTCCACAGGGATATTTTCGCAGGTCACTACCAGTAAAACCTTTAGCGTTTTGAGCCACGCCTTGTTGCCAGGGGCTCTCTGTGTCCCTCCAGGAGAGCAGCCAGTTTGCCTGCTGGGCAGCGGGTGAGCGGGCTCTAGTTTCCCTGACCACTCCTGGTACTTCCCGTGCAAGTCCAGGTTCACTGCAAAGTCGATGCCAACGCAGGACCCAGCCCTAAGGGAAGTGGGCAGGGAACTGAGGAGGGCTGCGAGAGCTACCGGACGGTGATGCAAGTCTGACCCCCAGTGAAGGAGAGAGGGAAGGCAGTGTGTGGAAGCGTCCTGCCCCACACTGCACCTCATGAGGGGGTTCAGAGGGCTGCTGGGTAGCCCTCGAACTAAGAATGATTGTCGGAAGAGTCCCGTCATCACCCAGGGACAGGCCCCCCTAAGCATCTCTGCCGTTGGGTGCAGCCCATGTATATATGTTTGCCTCCGTGCAAATGCATTGCAATGGTACCTCGGCACTCACCGTTCATTCGCTCCAGAACTTGCGACAAGTGCTGAAACTGACAAGTACTGAACAATGAAGCGTTTTCTCTGAAGAGGCTGCTTCGTGACTCATGCAAGTTGTAGCAAGTGTGAAGAGTCCCAAGCAAGCCCTGAGTGCTGAGACTTTTAAATGCGACGAATACAAGGTTTCACAAGTTCTAAGGCGTATGAGTGCCGAGGTGTGACTGTATTTGGCTTCAGAGACCAGGAGCTGGGCCCTTGGTCAAATGAGCTCCCAGTTTTTGGAGGTCCGCAGGTGCATCCTCATGGCCACTGGCCGACTCACTCCCCTTTCTCAGGAGAACCCTACAAAGTAGGCACTCCGAACATTACCTTCTTATACCTGAGGAAACTGAGGCTTAGAGAGGTTTGGACGTTTGTCTAAGTAAGGCCACACACCTGGGAAGTGGCAAAGCCAGCCTTGTCTCCAGGAAGGGACCCGATTGGAAATTTCATTCTCAACTCTTGTCCTTCCTGTCTCCGCCAGCTGCCCATGTTGGTGACTCACCTTGGGGGCACCTCCATTGCCACTGTTGCGACAATTTTGTCACACATTTTGTAGCTTATAACAACGCACAGCTATTATGTCAGTCTCTGTGGGTCAGGAGTCTGGCACAGCTTCGCTGGGCCCCTCTGCCTCAGGATCTCACAAGGCTGTAATCCAGGTGCTGGCCAGGGACGCAGTCCCATCTGAGGCTGGATGGGAGGGATCCGTGTCTGAGCTCATGTGGTCGTTGGCATCATTCGGTTGCTGCAGGCTGCTGTGCCGAGGGCCCCAGTTTGTTGCTGGCTGTTGGCCAGAAACTCGTTTCTGAGGGGTCTTTTCCATAGGGCAGCTTGCTCCTTTAAAGTCAGCAGAAGAGGTTTTCCTATCAAGATGGGTTGTAATCTTGTGTCACATACATCCTAAAGCCTCCCACACCCAGGGAACGGGATCACACAAGGCCATGGGCACCAGGAAATAAGGAATGAGGGCCACCCTAGAGTCCACGTACCTCAGCTGCCTTGTTGATCAGCAGCATCTCTAATGAAAATAGCTCCTTGAACTGTTGCAGAGCTGGGCTCTCCAGGAAGCACAAGTCTGTGCAGAGGCAGCTGACCTGGAGGATCCCCACTGGTGACTTTTTCAACTCTCCTTTCCTCCCATGGTTCCAAAGATCCTTCCCCTCATTGAGAGTGACTCAAACACTTGAGGTGCTGAGAGATGGCCCTCTCCATCAGCATGTCACGCTTTAAGGGTGGGTGATAGTTAAGTATGTTCTTTGACTATTAATGAGAAATGGCAGAAATTTCCCTCTGAGATCCCTGAAGACTTAGAAATGGCTCAGTTTCCACTGACTTTGTTTCTTTTCTTCCTTGTTTGTTTCTCTCTTTCCCTCCCTGCATCAGCGTGGGGAAACACAGTAACTAAACCTTTCCATATTCTGATGCTATTACAAAATGAATTTGAAAATTGTCAAAATGACTTTCTACTTGTCTATGTGTCCAGGAATCACCCAGAGCAAAGCAGGATGTAGGGCCTCTCTTCAGTGGGATGCGGAACAGAGATGTGTGTGCGTGTGTGGTTCCGGATTTTCGAGGCTTCACAGGCCTGGCTTCGACTGTTTGCAACTTATTATCTCTGCAACCTCACCTCTCTATCTACCTCATTGCACTTGGCAGAGAGTAAAGGATCTGGCAGCAGGAAGACAAGAGACAGGCTCATTTCCCAGCTTTGTATCCGTGTGGTCTTGGACAAGACCCTTCACTCATGGGGCCTAATTTTGCCCAGCTGTAAAATAAATGGTTTGGACTCAAGGCTCTTTGGGGTTTCTTAAGGTTCTGTGTTCCATGCCTACCTCCCAGTTGTAAAGAATGGGCATTAAGGTGATGTCTCTCACAAAACCATTTCTTGTTGAAAACGGTAAATCCTAGGTAGAAATTTTAGGGGGAATTGCACGAGAGCTGGAAGGATTCATGGGAAACGAGATGCGATGCTATTTCTAGGAAGGGGATGGGCGTGGCGGGGCGCTGAGCGGGTGTGCGGGCAGAGGAGCATCCTTGCAGTCTGACAGCGTCCACCGGCGGGAGCAGCGGGGCCGAGCCAGGAGAGGACCGCGGCCGCAGCGGCTGCGCACTGGCGCGCCCAGCCGTCCGATTGGCGAGTCTCCGCCTTTGCGACCAGCCGATTGGGAAGGCTAGAGGAGAGCTGCGCGCCGATTGGCTGGGACGCCCGCCGCTCAGGCCCAGGAGCGGACGGTTTCTACTGCGGCTGGGCACCGGCTCTGCTCCAGCGTCGGCCTGCGCTCCAGCTGCGCCCGGCCCGGCCCCGGCCCGGCCCGGCCCGGCCCTGGCCTCCGAGCGAAGACGCCGCTGCCGCCTGGGCCGGTCCCAGGGCCATGAGGAGGCGGCGGCAGCCACTGCGGCCCGCGTCAAGGTGACCGGCCGGGACTGCGGCGGTGTCAGCGGCGGGAGCGGGCGGTGAGAAGAGCGGCCCGCGGGGCGGGGCGGGGCCCTGAGGGCCGGGCTGGAGGGAGCCGCAGGTGCAGGAGGCGGGACCTGGAGGGGCCGCTGGGCCGGGGAGGGGCCTCAGGGCGGGAGGCGGGCCTGGGGGGGTTAGGTCGTCCGGGCTTACGGGCGCGGGGGTCGGACCGGGGGCCTTCGTTGCTCTGGTTTGGTGGGGGGGGCTTTGTACGGAGGGCGGGGGGTGTGGGGGGTGGAGGTGGGGGTGAGGCCGCAGGTCGGGGGGCGGGGCTGGCGGAGGCTGTTGGGTGGGGCCGAGGGCTGCAGGGTCGGGGGGCGGGGCCAGGTGGGACCACAGGTTTGCTAGGTGAGGCCAAAGCGGCTGGAGAGCTTGAGTCTAAGGAAACCACAGGTGCAAGGGGCGGGGCTAGGTAGACCTGCAGGAGCGGGGGGTGGGGCCCGAGTGGTTGCAGGTCCGGAAGCGGGCCCCAGGTGAGGAGCGAGCAGAGGTGAGTGGGCGCGGGCGAAGGGAATGCTACCCTCTCTGCTGTCCAGGGGGCTTGGGTGGAAGCAGGAATTTTGGGCTCTCTGAGGATTCTGGAGGCTTCCAGGGTTGCCACTGGGCCAGAAGGGCCGGCCAGGTCTGCCTGTCTTCTCCTGAGTAAGACTTAGGTCTCAGCTGTCCTGGTTACTAGGCTGGCGGCTTCCCCTGTGTCAGGCTCTAGGACGTACCGTTTTTCACGTCTCGGGGACTTCTCCTGCTGCTGTTGCAAGGGCCGTGCCTAGGCTGGGGAGTGCTTGCTTGGCTTTCATTCAATGATCAGCTGGTGAGAAGCGTGTGTGCTTGAAGAGTAGCTGGTGTGAAACTCGAAGGGTCCTGGCTTGCTGGCTCCTCATACAGACACTGCTGCAAATCCTAACAGCAGCAGTCTCCAAAAGCCCGAAATGGCAGCCTGGTTAGGGGGAAGAGCAGGAATGAGGGTTCAGAGGTATCTGCCTCTGTGTTACCTTGGAGAGTCTTTCTCTCCTTTGCAAAAGAGCATGGTGCTAACTGCCTTGTGTGAGGGGACAGGATGGAACTGTGCTACTGAGCACATCCTTGCGAAGTTAGGAGTCCCCCTTGTCTGCATTGATGGGCAGGTTGGATTCTGGAACTGGGGTGCAAAGAGGAGGAGATTACTAAGAGGTGGGGATTTCTAGACCGTTTTCTGTTTGAGTTTGGGATGAGGCTTGTGGCAGGGAGTCCCCAGAAGACTCATTCCTGTCTCTGATGGTGACTGCTCCTCCCTGTGAGGCTCCTTCCCTGTGGGAAGGAACATGGGGAGAAGGAAAGCAGAGGAACATTTAATTGTTTGCTGACCTTTAGAACTCAACCCCAGTGAGGACTCTGACCTGGAAAATGTGGCTTAGGATTGAGCCGTATGGAATTCCCCTTCTGGTTCAAGTACAAACCCTGAACTTACCACACTAAACAGAGGAGAATGCCAGAACCTCATTAAGTTCCTGCAGGGCAGAGAGGAGAAAGCAAGATGATGGGGCATCCTCCTGGTGAGAAAAGGGTCCCATATACCTACGTGCATGGCCCTTTATCGTGCGGTGCCTTCACTCCCCCGTAGGCCGGTCCGAACTGCAGTTCCTCCTGCGTTGCACAGACAGGAGAGAAGCAGGAGAAGGTTTCTCTTGTTCTGGTCTGCATTTTTCTTCACTTTAGAAGGTATGAGACTTTTGGAGACCAACCACCCTGGTGCTGGCCTCTGTCACTACACCAGTTTTGCGGCGGTGGCCCAGTGGCATCATGGGGATGGTGTCTCAGGTACCCACAGGGTGCGTGAGACCATGTGTGTGTTGTCCCATTCCGTCCCAGTAGGAACTGTGCACATGGCTGTTGGAGACTGCTGCCCTCTGGATGACCCCCACACTCTGCGGGTTACAGGGAAAGCCCAGGCGTGGTGGCAGACAAGGGCTAGAACCTGTGTTGGATAGGGAGGGGATAGGCTTTTTGATCGTTTATCCTTACAGTAACAATATCCAGGGTCGGGAGAGAAACTTCATTAATGGACAATATTGCATCCGAGGCTCTCTGTGACATAGCCCAGTCCACCTTTTTAACTCAATTTCCCTGTTCAGTATGGAGGGAAAAATCTCTGGCTTGGAAGACAGGTCTGCATTTGAAGTGTCATGCACTAGTTTTTTAGTTTCCCACAGCTTTGGTTTCCTTATTTTAAAAACAAAGATGAGTATGTCTGCCTTGAGAGCTCATTATGAAGAACAAATGAGACAAAGTAAGTGAAAGGACCCGATATGTTAAGCACTCAGTATACAGGGTCCGGTAGAAGTAAGCCTGCTTGGGTGCGGTCGGCAGGGTAATGATACGGGTGTGATCATTTATAGTTTTAATTCAAACGCGTCACCTAAAATGTCATGCGGTGTGCTTGAGTGTGCTGTTGATGTGCTACAGAATCACTTGCTTTTGTTTTGTAATAAAAAAAAGAGGCGTTATTTGTGCCGGACCCTGTATATTAGGATCTGTTTCTGCCTCTCCCTGCCTCCTCGCCTTTCAGCGCCACAGAACCGCATGTCGCGGACAAGGAGAGCGGGGCTGGCGACTCTGAGGCTTTCACTCCTCCCGTGACTTTGGTCAGATCCCGTCCCCTCTCCGGGCCTTGGTTCTCTTAGCCGCGTGAGAACGGTGTTAGGCCGCGTGCGCGAGAGCGGTCCTGGCTCTGGCGTTCCGGTTGCCTGCCCTCTGCTCTCTGACGGACAGGGAGGGGGAAGCTGATCACCTGTTCTTCAGTTCTGCTTTCAAAAACGTCTGTCTAGCGCCCTGCCTGGCACACAAACTATTGCAACGTTAGTGAAGTTCGTGAACCTTGACATGGCTCCAAAAGGGGTTTAACAGTCCCCTTTCACCCCAGATTAAGTTCGTCCGATTTACGTTCATAAACATGCATACCTTTTCATGTTTGCAGTCATACGTATGTGAATATTTGGGGAAGGCCTGGCAATAAGAGGTGTCTTTAAATGATGTTTTTGTCTTATTTTTTTAAAAATTAAAAAATGTCACACGTAGATTTTTTAAAAAGCAAGCAGTTCAAAGGGGAACGAATGGTAAAGTACTTCTCTTTCTTGTGGTGAGGTCCAGTTCCCATCCCTCCTCCCTGGAGGCAAGCACTACTACCATTTCTTGTGTATTATGCATTCTTACACAAATAATATTCTATGCATACTCTTGCTCCTTCATTTATTAACTTGATCTATTTTGGAATTGCCCCAACATTGGAACAAGTTCCATTTGGTACACAGAGTTCCTCTTTAATAAATGTTTTTGACTGATATTGTGAGTGTAATTTCTATCCCCGCCGCAAACCCCCCACGATGTTTACTCAGCAGTGGTTAGCAGCCGTTGTTTAGAGGAATTACACGAGGCAGCCCTCCTGCTCCTCTAGGAGAGAAAGGGCTTTGACCCCGGGGAACAGTGGACTAAAGGGCAATCCACGTGTTTGGAATCAAGGCACAGCACAGAGAAAGGAAAAGGGATGTTTTCACTAGTAGCTGACAACTGAGTGTTCATTCTCGTGTGCTTCCGAGTTCAGCTCTGTCACTCACTGCGTGACTTCAGACAGTTTGCTCATCTTTCGGTGCTTCGGCCTCCTGCTCTGCGGGGCGGATGATGACAATGGGGTCTGCCTGTCGGGGTTTGTGCAGGGGACCTGAGACCGCGCAGGCAGAGCGCCCACAGCAATGGCAGGTGTGGTCGATCCTCGAGAAGAGGGAGCTGGCGTGTGATTAATAATCTAAAGTTGACTCTCATTCTGTGTCAGCAGGTATTTACTTAGAGTTGAGGGTGAGCCACAGAGCATCCCCAAAGTCCTTGCCCTCGAGATGCTCACATCCTGTGCAGGGAGACAGGCACACAAGTCACCGACGACAGAACAAGGTGGTGGGCCTGGTGATGGGGGGTGAACAGTGTGGGGCCCACGGGGGCAGGAAACGATGACCTCTCCCTGGGTGATGGGGGAATGGCCTCTCAGCTCCAGTCTCCCCCCCTCTGGGCAAGCTCCCGTCCCCACCTCCGGGCACAAGTGACACTCCCACCCGTGCTCCCTGACCTTCATCGTGCACACACCTTGATGGGAACGTCGCTGCGTGAGTTACCTGGTGCTTGTCTCCTGCCTGCACTGGGAGCCCCCCACTGGCATTGTTGCTGCATCTCCAGGGTGGGCTCTTGGTGGGCGTTGAGCTGGACCTCTGCTCAGACAAGTCATGCCGCCAAATAGAGCAGCCTCCTACCGCTAAGCCATCAGGTCCGTTGGAGAAACCCAGACTGTGGCCTCTATTACTTTATTCCCCACGTGTGTGGGTGCCAGCTCTGAGACAGGCACGCGCTGTGCCATATACCAGCTGTGGACTCTGGGTCTGGCTGGTGTTACTTGTCCCGCTAAGTCTTAGGGATGGGAAGAAGAAAGGAATATTTGCTACAGGATAAGATGGGGAAGCAGAAAAAAGGACACATTCAGAACCGAACTGCTTCGCTTGCCGAATCCCGTCACTCCATTCCTCAGAAGTATGGCGGGCTGCTCACCCTCCCCTTGGGGTGGGGTTGCGGGGGAGCAGGCCCAAGGGAGAGGAGAAGGCGTCTGTGGATTTCAACCAGGGGTCGGGGGGTAGTTGGCTGGGTTGGCCTCAGTGAGGGTCGTCCTGGGGCGTTTCTGGGGCGACTTTGTTGGAGACGAGGTGTCACTTTCTTCATGCAGGCATTCATTCAGCAGCTTTGCTGGGCTCCTGCGTTAGGCCAGACCCTTTGCTGAATGCCAGGCATACGGAGATGAAGGACCTCCACCCTGTCCTCGTGGAGCTGACAGTCAAGCAGGTGGAGGAGTCGCACGCACACAGAAGGCAGTTAGCTGTGATGGAGGACCTCACGTGAAGTGGCCAAGCAGATGCAGACTCTGGAGCTAGGCAGACCTGGGTTCAAATCCCAGCCCTTCCATCCATGGCCTCTGTGACCTCGGGCAAGT